GAGGTCGCTGTGGAATATCGATTTCATCGAAGCATTCCGGCGGAATCACCAGAGTCGCTTGACACCACTCCGGAAAATCCGCCAAGCAGCTAGTTTCGACAAACCCGATAGTGTGATTTGTGTTTTGTCACATTTGTGTGAGATTTTGGAGAAAATAAATGCTGGTCTGCATTCGTTATCCCCCAACATTTGTTTGTTTTCGATCTGCTAACCACTACCCCGAATCGTTGTTTTGAAGCGGGTCCAAACCACGGGAACGAAAAGGTACCGACTGGGAATCCGACATACGGTACGTGTAAATACGACGCTGCCACCTTGAGCATGCGGTACGTGTAAATACACGCATGCTCAAGGTGGCAGCTCGTCGGGATGCGCTGGCTGGCCGCGCTGATAAACCAGACATTGGCGTAGCCAGGTCGTGTTCAAGGGTCGAAGCGCCTTCGAAATTGCATGGTTTTCCTCTTTCCCCCATTCCCTTTTTCATTGTCAGCTTTTTTTTTTCTTTTTTTTTTTCTTGTTTTGTGAAGGCATTAAAAGTCCTATGTGCTTCTCTTTCTGTTCGACAACCCACTACGGCGAGGGGCCGGAACATTCCAAAGCAAAACGAAGATGACAACACTGTCCGTGGACTGCGTGAGCGTGAGAAATAGAAGTCCGGCTCCGGCTTTCCGAAGAGCTCTCGCCAAACTCGACAGTGTTATTAGCAACCTAAGCCTTTCTTCGGGCTCGCAGGTGCGGATGACTCCGCTCCTGACGTCACATAAGCCGCGAAATCCTGACCTCGAAGGACGCTGGCCTCGCCTCGGAGAATGCAGGCGGCTTGAATAAAGTTCCCCTACTCTTTGAGCCTCAAGGACTCCACGCCACTATCAGGGCAGCGAAACAAAATTTCAATATAGCAATACTTTGACTTTGCAAACCCTACAACCCTACAAACAGGACGACAAAATGACAAACAGCTTAGCTTTCTTTTTTTCTTTTCGTCCCGTCTTTTATTTGTTTTGGGCGCATACCAAAATGTAAAAAAGAAAAAAAGCGGGAGAGAAATGCGGCAGCATATGCACCCTAGAAGCACTTTGGAATGCTCATAATTATTTTGGTTTCAAAGCGTACCGAGGTTACTTCTTTAATCACTGCAGTGGGTAATGTTTATAATCTTGCGTTCAACACGTGAGTCGTGAAAGTTCCTTTACGTATATAGACTCTCAAAAATTAATTCAATAGCCAATGCTGTCGCTTGACGCTTTTTTAAATAATGATTATTGACCTACAACTTCAAGCGTGCCATCAACGTCTCCAACAGAGTCGGCACATTCACGTCAGGCAGCATCGTCCGCCCTGGGCGAGAGCAATGTCATGGCCATAGGTCGGCATTTCCGAACCCACTCACTCACCATCACATCACTAATTACAGCGACATCCAAAAGTCACAGCCCTTCACATCACAAAGTACATCGACGTCCAAAAGTCACAGCCTTTCACATCACAGAGTACACCGACGTCTAAAAGTCACGGCATTTCACATCACAAAGTACACCGATGTCCAAACGTCACAGCCCTTCACATCACAGAGTACACCGATGTCTAATATTCACGGCCCTTCACATCACAAAGTACACCGACGTCCAAAAGTCACCGCCATTCACATCACGGAGTTCAACCGGACAACAAACTCATCCCCATCACGTCACCGCAATCTCTGAACTCACAAAGTCATTCACCGTCACTTCACGAATCCGTCAAGTTCACGAAGTACTTCACCGTCACATCACGAATCCTATAGAGTTCATGAAGCATTCCCCATCCCATCACCGCCAACTCTGAATTCACGAAGTCGCTCACCGTCCCATCACGAGCTCATCGAGTTCAGCAAGTCGTTCCCCTCACGTCCGTGAACTGATCCCGTTCATGAAGTCGTTCACGGCCCTTCACCGAGTCACAGCCGTTCACCGAGTCACAGCCATTCACCGAGTCACCGAGGTCACGGAGAGCGGCGTCGGCCCCTGCAGCCGCGGCCACCGCCACTGCCTCCGGCTCTCAGCCATCCTCGAAGTTCTTTCGCAGCGGCGCTGACGGCTCCAGATGTGTGTGTCAGTGTGTGTCTATGTGTGTGTATGTATGGGGGGTGGGGGGGTGTATTGGGCTGGGCCGGGCGACGCACCCTGTTCTTGTCATTTTGTTTGTTTAGCTAGTTCCCTCTGGCTTTTAGTTCTGTTGTCCCGTTTCTTTTATTTTCGTTTTGTTTCGCGCTTTCTTTATCGTGCGCGCATGCTGTGGAGAGCAAGCGGCTTCTTGACTTCCCTGCTCCGAACTTGTGAGATAAGGTGCTTGTTTCCGGGAGAGTTATAAGCCCCACGGATGCCCAGAACCAAAATGGCTGCTGGTTTGTCGGCGAGCGGTATTGGCCCCGAGCGGGACCGATTGGAGCGCTGCGGTCGCTCGACCGTGACGTAGGATAGGGGATCACGTGATAAGGACGGTTATTCTGCCTTGCTTTGGTCGGGGTATTCGGGAACCGTTCGGTCGTTATTTTCGTGTTTTTTTTCTGTGTTTGGAGCCCGATTAGTTCACGCGTGGATCGGCTTCGGCAGCCGTCGTGCTCAGGAAGCAATGGTGAAGTACTGTTCGGTGCCGCAATGCTGCAGTTACGCGACCGACCCGAACGTCAGCTTTCACATCTACCCCAAGGAGAAGCAGCTGCGCACGGAGTGGCTTGTGAAGTTGAGAATGGGCAAATTAAACTCCAAGAGCTCGACAGTGTGCAGCAAGCACTTTAGAGATGAAGACTTCGTGTATGCGGTTGGAGCGAAGATGTTTGGTAAGTGTTCTCCAATTATTTCAGTGAACCTCCACAAAAAGGGGGGGATTTTGTTGGTACCCGTCGGAGATCGACGCTCTTGCATTTTGCACGTAAGCTGCAAACACGAAACGTTTTCGCAGAGAGTGATATCACGCATGCGTGTATCTAAGTGCTTAACACTCGTTAGTTTTCCAGGGCCACGACGCCCCAAAGTCACGCGAGCGAACTGAGCAAAGCTGGCGATCAGACGGCCGAGATTGACGCATGCTCACGCTCCGTCGTGATTGATTTTCTTCCTTTTTTTCTCGTCAGGCTGAAAAAAAAGGGCACTCGCCCCAGGAACCGCGCCGTCAAAGAATCTGCCTTTACGGCCACTGGACAAGCCCCCGAAGCTGCGACAGCCCCTGAAGCCGCGGGCAGGTGTGGACACATGCAAGCCTCGCCGTGAGTGCTCTCGTTTGTAGGAAACATTCGTGGTATCAGAGGATGCTGTGTGATAAATAACCAGATTTTAAATATTTGGCTCCTGCATACCTGTTTACTTTTTTTTTTTTTTTTTGCAGTCATCAGAAGATAAAACATGGTCGTGTCTATTTCAGTTCCAGTGCTGAGCTGTAATCTTAGGTTTTTCTGTTTTTTTTTTTTTCCACTTGGATCTAACAGCCAAGGATGACCTGCCAGCAGCAGTTACATTGGCAGGGCTGAACTCCGAAGAAGCCAGCACCAGTGAGGGTTTGATTGAGCAGGAACTACCCAACCAGGATGCCGATGCTGCAGATCCCATTGGTGAGGAGAAAGCTAACATTGCATGCCCAATGTGAGTCATGTCAGCCTAATTCTAGTTGATACCAGAGTTGTTTTTTAATGTTTCAGGTCTTCAGGCTGAACTTCACACCTTGAAGAAAGATGTCGGAAGTCAAGCGGTCACACTACAGCTTGAGAAAGATCAAGTGCTCGGGATAGCACGGGTTAAGAATGAACCGGCCCTCGTATCACTGACCTGCATACCCTGTTTTCAGCTATTCTATAACATCTGCGACCTGTATGGGGAATCTCGCTTATTAAGCCAGAGGAAGGATTTCAGCATCAGTAACGAGGACGCAGTACTGCTAACAATGATGAAGCTGTACCACAATCTGACGTTTTCCCTTCTTGGGGTACTGTTTGGGGTCCATAGAACGACAGCTTCCAACATATTTAGAGCGTCGGTACCGGTCCTAGCAGCAGTGCTCAGGCACGCCGTTTTCTGGCCTGAAAAGGAGGCTGTGCTCCAGTCCCTGACCAAGTACTTTCACAAGTACAGGGACTGTCGCATGGTGCTCGACTGTACAGAGATTCCTCTGCAAAAGCCGAAAAACCTGGAGTCTCAACTACTTACCTACAGTCACTACAAGGGAACCCACACTGCAAAGGTGCTTGTGTGCGAGACGCCAGGTGGCTTAATTAGCTATGTGAGTCCGGCATACTGTGGCAGATCCTCCGACACGCATATCACAAAGGAGAGTGGGCTTCTAGAGAAATGCCTGCCCTTCATCGACAGCGTAATGGTCGACAAAGGGTTCTTAGTTGACGAGCTGTGTTGCGAACACAAGGTAAAGTTGGTTCGTCCACTATTTCTCCGTAAAAACACACAGCTGAGCAAATCTGACGCCGCAAACAACCAAAGCATCGCAGCCGCACGCGTCCATGTCGAGCGTGCAATTCAGCGAATGAAGTTGTTTCGAATTCTTCGGGACAATTTCAGCGCAGACCTCCTTCCGCAAATCGATGATGTTGTCGTCATCATTGCAGGTCTCGTGAACCTCTCAAAGCCCTTGTTCAGCAACGACAAATTTTTAACTGGTTAATACATTGCTGAACAGGACATGATAGCGTTTTCTTTTAGCTGCCTGTTTAAACGTTGACGTTAATCTGTAGATCACTTAATGGGCAGTTCAAACATGGCATCCCACTGTCATTTGTGAAGAATGAGTTCTCTTTAGCAGGGTAGTAAGAAAAAAGTATTGTTCGGTCACAGACTGTCACTAGCCAAGAATTTCCTTGTTAACTTCGTTCAAGGTACTCTTCCCCTGTGCCACATTGGAGAAAGGTTGTCAAAGCACAGAAATGAGGCAATATTTCTAGCTCGTGCATTTAGACACACAAGCCATTCAACAGCCTTGTAAGATATGTTTCTACGCCAATTTAATTTTGCAAATTTGATGTCATGCATACTGTAATAAATGAATGTATTAGCACGTGCTTGTTGCCATCCTTTTGTTTATTTGCTGGCTTCAAATGCATATCTAATGTTACCACACTGGCCCTTTTTGGGGCCCACTACCACGAGTATGAACATGCCAGATTCTTCAGCGTGTCAAAAATGTACTTGTCGTACAGGGTGTGCACTGCAGCCGAACATTTAAGGAAATGTGCAGCATCAAATGGCACGGTAAGTGCCCTCCAGTCCTCTGGACTCTTGTAGACGAAAAAGTCACACACTGGAATATTCGTTATCCCCATCTGGACCTGAACCTGTGTGTAGAATAGGGGCGTCGGCTTGTCCTTTGAGAAAGCTTTCTTCACCGTGTTGAGGCACTTGATTTCTAAAATACGCTTCTCACCCTTGCAGCAGGCGCAGGTGAAAGTAACGAGCCCATCCACGCTACAGCCCATCACAGGAAACTCGTTCCAAATCAATAGGCCCCTGTCTTCCACAGTGCATGCGTGGCCCCTCGACTTCACAACCGAGACATACTTGTCCCGCGCAGTGCCTTCCATGCTCAGCCCGCGCTGCATTGCTGCAGACTGGTATGTGCTCGTGCGGAGGACCGCCTTCAACAAAGGCCCCATGTTGTGCGGCATTTGCTTTATCTCGCACTTCGCTGCCCTTGTTTTGAAGGAATGGCAGACTGTACTGGTTGCCATGCCTATCCTCTGGCGCAACCAGTCCTCAGATAGCGACTGTTCCCTCGTCCTCTCCTCGATTACCGCACAGACGTCTGCAGAGAAGGTGGCCCTTATCTCCTCCACAAAAGCATCGAAGCTGGGAGCAGCAGTTGTGGCAATCAGCCGCGTAAGTGTGGGCAGTCCGGGGACAGGGGGCTCCTCAGCTGCGGTGGGGGCGGTTGATATCTCTGCAAACATGCAAATAAACAGGGAATATTGACACATTACACACTATAAAGGTGATAGGAAAGAAATTGGTTGTTGGAATGCAAAAATGAAATGATAGGGAAGAGCCAGAAATCACATGGAGCCATGTTAAGACAGTAGGAAGCCTGTTTTGGCCAAAAAAACTCAGACGCAAGGAATGAGCTGGTGCACTGTCATGATGCAGCTCCATCGTGAGAAACTTCGGCACGATTGCACGAAGTTGGTTAATCACCAGATTATTTCGGCTTGTTGAAGGCCTCTCCCCACTGACATGCAGTCATCTTTGATCTGGTTGTACCAAACCTTAATGTTTTTTTAATGCCCATGGCATCGTCCTCGAACTCCTGCTGAATATTTCGAATTGTTTCCACTTGAGTGTGAGCAAGCTTGAATCAAAATTTGATGCAATACCTCTCACGCAAACTACTTTGTCATGTTGCAAAAAAACAAAAAACAAAAAACAAAAAAAAACGACGAGCACTAACTACACGTCATCACTCCGAGGCTAACTGCCTGCGACTCACATTTTTTGCGGGCCTGATAAAATTCTTGCATGCGCATTAACATTCCCTCTGCCTCCCCACCAGATAAAGCTATCCGCGCTTCATTTGTTTCCACGGTACTAATTCAGGTAGGATACTTCTTAAACAGACCTTGTACACCAATTAAGCATGTAGTGGCATACTTAATTGGTGATGGTGCTCCAGGCGCACTTTCAGTTTAGAGTTGTGGGCCAGGAAAGTCACCTGCACCTGGCAATCTGGTTTTTTGTAGAAACCTGCCTATGGCAGGATGACAGTGCACATTGCTCAACTGGACTTAAGCCTCAGCCACTTTAAACATATTGTACTAAGGAACATTTCTGGTTGCTTTTCTGGTTCGCTTGATATTTTTTTCGCTCCTTTGCAGTCAACTGTTACGACATATTGGATATTAGTGCTTCCACTCAAATCTAATATATATATGGCGCAATCGCCATGCCTTCAGAACCTAGTACCTGTACTTTTTATCATCAACTCTGTAACTTTTGTGAGTCAGGCATGCACAATTCAGAATGTAAACATATTAAGGTTGGAGTCCCCATCCGTTGAGCGTACTGCTCACAGCTGTGTCAATTTATCACAGCCACCGATCTAAGTGGTGTACATTTATCTAGGGTTTCAATGTACACAAAAATTCTACACAGATAAATATACACAGGAGTGTACATTCATCTTGGGTTTTTTCTGCTGTGATCCAAACATCCTGCATGGTCTGTACTGAGCACAGCTTCTATCCCGTGTGAGGCATGCCACCACTGATGTTCGTCGGATAGTGAGAGAATCGATTCATAAAGTCTCTTAAGAATGACCAACAAACAGCCAAAACCAACTGTAGCAAAGACAATGGGAAAGAGAAAGAGGAAATGCAGTTCATGAACCAACCAAGAGGACGGATTTCTTCAGTGTGCCGAAGGGCAGCTGACCTATAAGTCAGTCCCTCCAGTAGTCGTCCCAGGATATCGCCTTTAGGAAGCAGGACCGGATCCCCTTCAACCTGAAAATATAAAGCAAAATTTCGCCAAAATTAAGCAAACGTAAAACAATGGATTGCAAGCGTCCCGGCTAGTGCCTCTTTCATGCAACCATGTTCGCATGCATGTAAGGGCAACATTGGCAGGCTTGCAGTTGCGCGTGCTTCGTTGTGCAAGCGGAGACAATGGCTGTTCGGTCGAAACCGAAATCATGTCACTCCGCTCTGTCGCCTACTGGATCCCAAAATTGTATGCAAAATGCAACTGCCTAGCATACGACAAAAAAAAAAAAAAAAAACAGTCCAGCGGTGTGCGCTTGACAGGCCGGCAGGCGAGGTACAAGCTAAACACCCAGAAAAAAAGAACCTGAGTGCATAGATGTATGGCATCGCGAGCCAGGGTCAAAAAGTTTTTGGAGCGCTTTGTCCAACGACTGAACTCGTGGCAAACAAGCACACTCTGCGGGTTCAGCTTGCAGACATTGCCTCCTTTGCTCACTTCTCGTCACTAACTGTCTTTCGCGGCAGATTTTTTACGTATCGGGGTCCCTCTCGAAAAAGAAAGCCCACCGAGAGAAACCTATGTAATCACTACTTCGACAAGCAGTTTTTGAAAAGGGGGATTTTGGTAGTGCCATATGATTTAAACGAGAGCACGAATGTTGATGAACACGCAGCGGTAACTACGTTTCAGTTTAGAAAGCGGCATATTTGTAGCGACGTGGGGACGGCAACCCGTTACATTGCACGACCACGGTGACTGTGGTTGTGCTAGTGCTTCAGCTCACAAAGCAACTCTTGCCGCACAAAATAAAAAAAAAATTGGTTTTGTTCCACAGCATGACGGCATGGCCGGCACACTAACGTCAGAGCATCCGCACACGCCCGTGTGTATCGTTGAAAAAAATTGAAAAAGGCGCGAGACGAGACCACCGGACAAGAGCCCCGAGATGACATGAGAGCGCAAAACCTGAGACGGCGGGAAAAGCCATGCAAGGGGTGGGGGTGATCGGACGGATGATTGATGCGGGGTACTTAGTGTTGGGCGGTTTCTTGCGCCACCTAGGTCACGCATGCTCAATTACGGTTCTCAGTTTAGTTTCGTTTTTGAAAGGCGACCGAAGCTGGTGCTTTGGCACAGGCTTGGTGTAGACTACCCATATTTTGGCAAATGTAGCAGGACGTAGGAGGGTTAGCCCCTTGGCACAGTTTCGCACAACTGGCCCAGCATACACATCACTGTCTTCATTTGATTTGCTAACTCAGGCTGACGCAACATATGCACTACATCATTAGTGAAAATCCCACAAGGTCACGTAACGGACACAAGAAAATGAAGGAGCATCCTGTGTGCTCTCGGCGTACCTATGCCGTGACACACTGTTGGTCAAGTTCCGTTAGCACAGGTCAGGGCAGAAGAAGCGTTTATATGTGGGTCTTGTACAGCCCTTTCCCGTGATTTCATTTGGCGCTGGCGGAGGGAGCTTTATGGTATGCACAAGGTCTACTAAAAGCGCTGTGCATAAATAGAAGTTTCATAGCTCAGTTTTTCAAGACCCGGGAGGTTGACGATCTTCCTCGGAGCATACTTCTCCCCGACCGCTCTCTTCTGCCCCTTCCCCCACTTTTGTGGCAAGTCTGTGGACGCCAGTACGTCGAAGTTCCTCTTGGCGTTGATATGTAGCAACATTGCCACAACGTGCTTACACTTGTAGTTCCTGCAAAATGGCAATGTTCTTAGCTTGCAATTAAACAGCATATCCAATATCAGTCATAAAATGTGAACAGTCTCACCCTCTAGCAGTACCTTTCTCATGCAACTTCAATATTATTTGAACGAGATTAAAAGTGCATGTACAAGTTGGTAGTATGCAATGCCAGTAGAGCTGAGTGTTAATAGACTTGAAAGAGTAATCTACAGAGAATAGCAAGACCTAAAATTTCACCGACTATTTTAACGTGAAAATCACTCGCAGCTTAGTGGTATCTAAGCAACCAGCAGCTGCATAAATGTGAGAATGTTATGTGGCTCCATTGATTTTAGTTTAAAGGTTGCTGATACGAGGGCAGCTGCACTCGTATTTGCATGTAATATTTTTCTTTTTGTAGTGCATCTGGTTACTATGTAGGGGCCGAGAGAAAACTATTCTACAACTCTAATGGACCTAGCTACAGGAATATTTGCATAATCTTTTTTGACAGAAGAAAGAAAAACAGCAATGCTGTACACAAACTGCCTTTGGCCTTTGGATGATCGGATATTAGTTTATGAATTAAATGTTATCCACAAGGTTTAATACTCGTAGCTCAAAAATTACGACATTGCAGAAAAGATAAAAGAGAATACTCAAAAAACCAAAAAAAGCAAAAAAAAAAAAAAAAAAGAAGATGAAGACGGACGCGCGGAGTCGAACTCGCGACAAGCGCCTCACGAAGCGTGCACCTTACCACTGCGCCACGGGAACAACGAGTAAAGCCCGATCGTATTTCGTAAACAAGGCGCAGCACTTCGCCGGTTATCGCAAACTGTTCGGTTCCCGGCTCGAGCCGCGAGCTCCTCGATCGACTTGACAACACGCCGGCCGATAAGTACAGTACATACAACTCAACCGAGTAATGATACACGGCATGTTCCTTTACCCTGCTTTGCAGGAGCACGATGTGTCACCGACGTTTCTTCCATTCAGTGCTATCTCCAGCTCGTGCGGGTCCGAAGTCAGTGCCGACGTCTGGAGGACGAATCCAATGAACGTGTAGCAGTCATTATCCACCTTCTTGATACTGCAGGAGAAGACATGTCCCGCTTCAAGAACTCGTTCGCCCTCGAGCAACAGCCGGGATGTTTCGTGGGCCTTGTTCACGAACGCGTTGATGGTGCTTACAGGCAGCACAACTGAAAAGGGGTACAGTTTTAACGGGCTGCCCGGTCAAATAGAAGCTAAAAAAAAGCTTCGCTTACCTTCAACGGTAGGTCGCACATGGTCCGCATCCATCGCGGTGCCCGATACAGCCGCCGAAAACGACAAATTGGCCCGTACCGTCTAGTCTAGTCTACGCCGCCGCGCTTCCCTGCAGCGACCGGTTCCCTGCTAGCCTGCAACAGGCTCACCGGCTCCCCGGAAGCAGTTGTACGGTAGCCGACTTAGGAGCTTGACCGGATCGAGTACAAAAACGAAAAAATGGGTTAAAATAAACCTTAAACACTCGTACTAATAGAAAAAAGCGAAGACCGAGACACTGCACCCTACACACTGAGCGGAAAAAGCGGTCACGTGATCCCCTATCCTACGTCACGACGATAGGCCCGTTAGGTGGCGCCACGTCATGTTCTCGGGGCTAATTACAAAGGGTGGCATCACCCTAGCAAAGCGCACATGAAGGCTCCCTAGACTGCGCCTGGTTGTCGGCGTTGTGATTGTGGAGGTGACCCCACCTCAAAATCTTCTGGACTGCCTTTTTTTTTTTTTTTACTTTCGTTGCGCACGGTTTTTTCTACGAAAAAAAAAGAAGGCGCTTATATTTTTGCCAACGACCGCTCGCCCAGGGGGCAAAAAGGAGACAGACACGAACCTGCGTGCACGATTTTTGTGAAACATCTTACAAACATTAATAAGAGTCCATATTATATGAACGAAGACGTTTTAGCGAATTACATTTTAGCGAATAGAGATCACAAACGCGAGTCGACGTTGAGGCATTTGTAGGGGCGGCAAACTCGGCATCCAAACAGACCGCGCCAGTCGGTCTGTTCGGAACGATAACAAGGGGTGCTTTGCTATAGTTTGGGGAAAATAATATGAACTCAAGTTCGAGCGTCCATCGCCAAAGGTTCGGCAAGCTCGAAAACAGGACGGCGGCGGCCTCCATTTTATCTATTCGGTCGAATGAACGCCGCCATTCGCTAAAGTGTCATTCGATGAAACGTCATGGGCCAGGTTTCGCTCGCTAAACCGTCGTTCGATCAGTACAAAATTGTTCTGTGTGTTTTATCTTAATAATTATGATCCATGGCAACCAGCCTATCGTTGCCTACCTCACTTTACGTCGTAAAATAGCGCGATGATGTCACTTTCATAAGAGATACCATAATAACGCAATACTTCACAACCGACCTCTGAATCACCCGTCTAATATTTTGTCACGGATTTCATCACATATATATAAAGTAGACATTCCAAAACAAGAGTCATCCATGCCCAAAAATTTCAGTGGACTGGAACTACCTTCCCACATCTGTTGCCACAATTGCCACTTACTATATGTTTAAAATTACCGTAAATAATCTATACAGCTCAGACTGAGCTCCAAAGTGTACAGCTTTGTTTTGTTCTCTCCTAACTCCCGCTGAAATCTGTAATGCCGATGGCCCTGAGGGTATGCCAGTTAAACAAATAAATAAAAAAAGTAAGTGCCTCCCCTGAAAAACCTCTTAAAGAGGCGACCTGTAGCTTGCCGAAGCAATGAAATCTGTGTTTTATTCGAACCCGTTGGTCAGGGTACACCTCATCATTAATTAAACCACTCATTGGATCATTCACCTCAAAGCATTATGTTTACTTCTAAAGCCTGGTTCAGACAGTTGCGTTTGACTGCGTTTGACTGTGTTTGACTGCGTTGCGGCAGCGAGAAACCAGGAGATCCCTGCTGCTTATATCGCGTGCCAAGATGATTTCTTGGATTGGATTCCATGCTTCATACGAAGCACATATGTGCCGGTGACTAGCTTTCCGCACTCGACGCAACGCAGTCAAACGCACTCAAACGCAAGTGTCTGAACCAGCCTTAAGCGTGTTCGTGTCGCTCGACCTACTTTGAGCGAAATGCAGTCGAGATAACTAATGATGGCGGCCGACTCCACTTTTCTCAGCTTTGAACCGAGGCGAGGCGTGCGACTCACGCGCGCCTCGCGCTCGTTGTTTTACGCCGGGGTTTGGCTGCGCATAGACTCGTATTATATGTAGCGTACTGTATTTTCGGAGTTCATTTTTGAATAGAATCGGAGCGTGTTTTTCGGAGTTTATTTTGTAGCGTAGGCTACACCGGCCGAGGTTGAG